AATGTTTTTTGGAACAGAGATGCTTAGAGAACTCTCCAAATACCTCAATCTTCAGGTATGTCTATGTGGAATAAAGAAAAGTAAAATATAGTAACACCATCTAATGGTAGACTTATCCAGAAATAAATTACAAGAAAAATAATTGAAGAAATAGATAAATAGGTGAGATATAAGTATTGTTTTTTAGCTCTGAGTACATTTCAGATTCATCTTTTTAATTATGATAGTTGAAATAAAATCCTACCTGAAACAATTTTTCCTTTCGGCCCATGCCATTGGAATGATGGATCTATCAGTTCGGAATTTCGCAGTCGTTGGGTTACACATAGCACATGTGGACTCTTTTGATGGAGCATGACATATACTTTCACTGAAAATAAAATATTAAAATGTTCCAATAATATTTTATGTTCTTTCTTTCTGTATGTGCCTTATATTTTTATAGACTAGGTAACAATCTTTTGCAATATTTCTTTGGATTATTTTTTTCTATTACTTGATGATATGAGCTAAATTTCACTGCAACTATGTAACTAACATTAAAACAACACAATGTATCTTGTGTATATGTGTGAGCATCTGTGTGTTAGTGAATATGTTTGTGTGAGCATGCAAGCTTATGTCCTCAACATGAACATAATGCACTGGTACTTTTTATTCAGAGCTCACATATACTGACTATATCCCTCAGAGTATAACTTAAATTACACAAAATTAATATGATTCTTTATCTAGACTTGATGTGTATTATAAAGTCATTAAACATGAGCAGAGGTTATAAATAGTTTAAATTGGAGGAATAATACATTATTCACAATTATATAACACAAACCACTGGATAAAATAATCCACAGACACTATCTCTAACCCATAAAAGTAAACAAAAACATGCTTTAACTTTAAATATTAAGCACTATGTCCCATCCTGCTTTAAAATTTAAAGAATTATGATGAGTAAAAATAATACTCTTCAGAAGATAAAAAAGGAACACTGTAAAGATTCAATTGTTTTGCATTCACTGATAAGTAAGCTTTTAGAAAATGCTAACTCTTCACTGATTCACCATATGCAAAGATTTTTGTGATTTATTAAAATAAAAATTGTTAGCCAGGCACTGTAGTGCATGCTTATTATACCAGCAGCTCTGGAAGCTGAGGCAGGAGGATTGTGAGTTCAAAGCCATCCTCAGCCATTTAGTGAGGTTTTAAGCAACTCAGCAAGACTCTGTCTCTAAATAAAATTTAAAATAAATAAATAAATAAAATTAATATTGTTTCTGAAAATGAAAATTTTTCTTAACTTTAAAGAGACTGCCTTTAAAGTTTTGCCATAAAACATGATGTTTCTTTAGGGAGAGGGAGCATGGGAGGAATAGATGAACTCTACATAGGGGAGAAGAGTCGGAAGGGAAGGGAGAGGGCATAGGGTAATTAATGATGGTAGAATGTGATGATCATTATTATCCAAAGTACAGATATGAAGACATGAATTGGTGTGAATATACTTTGTATACAACCAGAGATATGAAAAATTGTGCTCTATATGTGTAATAAAAATTGTAATGCATTCTGCTGTCGTATATAAATAAAAAATAAAAATTAAAAAATGATGCTTCTTGAAAGTACATTCACATGTGTATATCCCTTTACAGGTTCTGAAAACTCCTAAGTGATTTTTTTTATCATAAATTGGTATTGAATTTTAAACTTTTTCTATATGTTTGAGGTCATCATATAGCTTATTCCTTCTTCAACGAATTTAAATGAATCCTTGATATTAAAAGTTTACTTTCCTGAAATAAATGAAATTGGTCATGCTATTTTACTTAATTATTGTTAGATATAATTTACAAACATTTTCTTAGGCTCCTTGCAACTATGTTCAAAAATGGAAATGTGTGTAATTTCTTTATACTACTCTTGGTTCTTTTATCACTTTAAGCATTTATTATGATATATTTCATATTCATTTTCAATATTTATTATAATTATGATGAATATCAGATCTAAGATTATAATGGCCACATGAAATGAACTGGGAAGACTCCTATCTGTAAATTTTTTCTGAAGGAATATGTAATTTATTTTCCTGGTACATTTTTTTTAAAAGAGAATAGGAAAAAATTTTTTGCATTAACAAGGCTGAATTTACTTGGTTATAAGTCTACTAAGTAATTTACTGGAAGCTATTTTAGAAATTTATATTTAAACTAGTTATTAAAGTTATTACGATAATATTTTTTCAGATCGTAATGATTTTTTTAATTTCACTATCTTCATTTGCAACACTTTTTTGTACTTTATTTTCTCATAAAAAATTTACCAAAAATGTATCTATTAACATTTCCAAAAAAAAGTTTTTGATTCCATTAAACTGTACTACTTTATTGTGGTCTCATGAATTTCTGTTCTTCTTTTTCTGTCCTATATTTCTCAGCTGAAACTTTTTTTTTCTCTTTTCTAACTTCTTGAATAAGCACTTACCCCATAAATTTTCCCTCCTCAACATCACATACTGGCTTCTCTCTTCTCCAATACCTATTTTTTCAACTCAGAATTTATTTGTATTTGGTATGAAGCATAAATCTAAGTTCCAATTCATATATATATATATATATATATATATATATACTCACACACATATATATATATATA